ATGCTGCCCTTTCCAGCTCCTTGCTGACCCTTTCTACTCCTTCCACTTTACCTTTGTGCTGCTTTAACTTCCAGCTCCCTGCTGACCCTTCCTTCTCCTTGCTGACCCTTCCTGCTCCTTGCTGACCCTTCTTGCTCCTTGCAGCCCCATCCTGCTCATTTCTGTTCCTTTGTGCTCCTTCTCCTACTTTACCTTTTGTGCTCATTGCTGTCCATTCCAGCTCCTTGCTGTCCCTTCCTGCTCATTTCTGTTGCTTCTTCTTTCTGCTCCTTGCTGACCCTTCCTGTAGGCTGTCTCCCTCATCCCTCATTTCCCTGATCTATAGGCTCTCTCTCCCCCTCCCTCACTTCCCAGATCTATAGGTTCTCTCTCCCTCTCCCTCACTTCCCTGATCTGTAGGCTCTCTCTCCCCCTCCCTCACTTCCCTGAGGGAGGGGGAGAGAGATCACTAACCTGATCTGTAGGCTGCCCCCTCATCCCTCACTTACCCGATCTGTTTGTTGTCTCTGGCTGCATGTGCTGTTCCTCTGCGGATTCAGTCAGGGTAGAGAAGCAGGGATAAGATGTAGCTTCCAATCCCTGTCTCTCTCCATACACAGCGCCACCTACTGGCCGGTATTGCACTGTATTTTCAATCTCGCGAAAATAGCAGAACAAGCTGAAAAATCCGGGGGTGCAAGTGCCCCCCCTCATCCCACCTGCAGACGCCCATGGCTGTGCGCTCCCCTCCTGACAGTCACCTGGTCTCCACACACCTCGGCCGATATAGCTGTGCTCTGGCCCTGAAGATATGGTGGCCCACGGTCGCAGGGGTCAACAGATAAACCCTCACTCCTCTAAAGGTTTTGACTAATTGCTTGCTGGCTGCTTGGGTTGTCAGTGGACACATAATCTGAATTTTTATAATTCACTTTTATTATGATGACCAAATTATCCTACCCATGCTTGTAAACGCTGCTTCGTAAATGTCAGAATGAAATAAAATTTTATATAGGATTTGGATGCAAAAAGCACAGATTTTTCAACAGACACTGAATGTGTCTGGCTGAATGGTGGAGATTTGGTTGGAATTACCAAAGTGGGACTGGTTTATGAGAATTGCCTCTCCAGTCTGAATTTGTAATTTTCACAGCATTTTGTCCATTCAGACAAAACGTGGTGTTTAGTGAATAATCCTGTTTAATTTCTTGTTAATGTAGGGCTGCAGCACACTAATAAGCAGGCCATCATTGTTACTGTGCAAAATACAAGTACTTTATGAGCCTTCGCTGCATTAGGAGAGCTGAAAATCCCCCTGCATGTAGGAAAGGCCTGTCCCTTATAGGGTTAATGTAAAGCAGTGAAAACTATGGTGTATTGTGTTTATGGCTTCTTAAAAATGACAGTTATGGAAAATAAAGTTTCACACAATTTAATTTAAATCTTTATACCATGTGCTTATGTTGTTTTGACATTTTAATCATTCAGTTATACATCTCTTATATAAACATCTCAGTGGGTAGTAAAGCAAACAAACAAACAAACACACAAACAGACAAACAAACAAATACACACACACACACACACAAACAACAGACAAACAAACACACACAACACACACAGACAAACAAACAAACAAATACACACACAAACACACACACACACACACAAATACACACACACACAAACACACAGCATATAGTGGATACAAATACTGAGGCTGTGTCTTCACACACACACTAATACAGAGAGCATGTGGTGGATACAAATACTGAGGCTGTGTCTTCATAGTAACCAATTCAGAGAGCATATAGTGGATACATACTGAGGCTGTGTCTACACACACACTAATACAGAGAGCATATAGTGGTTACATACTGAGGCTGTGTCTACACACACACACTAATACAGAGAGCATATAGTGGATACATACTGAGGTTGTGTACACACACACACACACACACACAGTGATTCTTTGGCAGGTATTGCTCATGGTAAATCCAAGTTTATTCACTAAATATTGTAAATAAGCAAATTGAGGACTTAATGATAATGGACTTAATAAAATATCCAACTCTCCAGTTTAACGTTTCAATCGATAATACTTTGTAACTGTTAATTGCCAGGAATCTAAAGATAATTTACAATTTTAGGTCGAAATAACCAAAGTGGAAAAATATCTCCAAGTCACTTGTGTTTTCAGCATTTTGTGAAATTTACTTTAAATTCTTGAATAAACCTTTTTGTTATAAAACCTGTAGGTTGACAAACTAAACAGCAAAATGATAGTGAAAACGTAAGTGCAGAATGTAAGTAAATATATCCAAGCTGGGATAATAGTGGAGTCGGGGGAGTTTTCCAAATTCGCACTTTTCACCTGAATTCTGCTATTTAGTTTTAAGTTTACTCCAGTTCCTAAACTGAGTGCATTGAAAACCGAATTGCAAAACCTTCTCTTTTTTTTTAGTTTCTTCCTTTGCCATTCTCTCTTCCTTTCCACTCTGGTGGGTGCAGATCATGGTGTTCGATCCTACCAGTGCTTCTCCATGTTTTAACGTGGTGGCTGGCACACCAGATGGCAACATTGTCAGTCAAACAGAAGCTCTGGGAGAGATTGCCCACAGGAATCTGCACCTGCCAGAGGTGCCACATGTTCCCTCAGTTTAGTGAGGAGGAGGAGAACCAAAATAGGAGACTTTTGATCCTTTTGGTCCAAAAAGGATCAATGTGCCCCAAGGGGTATCAAAAACACATTTGATGTTTCAACTTTTTTTGTTATCCCCCTATGTACTACCGGCACCATATTTTGGACAAAGCTATTGTTTTGGCACTACAATCAATGGAGGTGTTATGTGGGTCTTTGTCCCATGAATGGTTTTGACTTCAGAATGCCTGATCTCCCTACTGGTTTCTGGGTCCGCAGGGCTCTCCACCAGAGCCGACACTCCAGATGAATGCCCAATTGGACTGACGATAGTGCAGAAAGGAGCTTAATTTGGGAATTCCTGGACACATTGTTTTCACATGCTGATAGAAAGTATAGAAAAAGTGTTACTTTCAAATATGTAGAATTCCTTTTGTTGCAGGACGTTTGTAAATGTATTAATCAAGAAGAACCCGAATGAAGGAACTGAGTCAGAAACGCATTCATGATGACTAGGATGACGGACTTTTCTCAGGCCAAAATACATTATATTGAATTTTTGCTTGGTACCCCTTGAGCACACAAAGTTAGAGTAATGCATTAAATAATGATTTTTCACTTTATGTTAGAGAGTTAATTTCAAAGATTTTTTTTGGCAGTAATTTCAGTTATAATAAAATATATTGTTAATGTATTATTGTATCATCATTCTAGCCATATACATTTTGCGTATTTCATCTTAACTATGTGTTTGTTAAGAATGTAAACATCTAAATATGGTAATGAGTATAGTGTGTATCTGTGTGAGCTGAGAATGTATGCATTTTGTATATATGTGGGCATGAGTATATGACTCTATTTCCTAGGAATATCGAGATATATGTGTATAACCAACATGCATTGAGCAGTAAAATATATTTTGTGCTTAAGACTACAGAAACACTTGCACCAACTATCAGAGACGTATTGGCCGTGAGGCAAACAAGGCATTTGCCTTGGGCGGCATTTTTCAGGGGGCGGCAAAAAACTTCACCCCCAAATGACCAGGGCAAATGCCTAGTTAGCCTTGCGGCTAACTGACATGCAGGGCGCTGGGCGGGCGGCGCTGGCTGATGGGCGGCGCTGGCTGCTGGGCGGGCGGCTGGCGAGGGAGCTCTTCCTCTGAGCAGTCTGCTCAGCTTCCTTGCGCGCCGCAGAGTGAGGCTGAGAGCCGGAATATGACGTCATATTCCGGCTCCCAAGCTCACTCTGCTGCGCGCGAGGGAGCTGAGCAGAGTGCTCAGAGGAAGTGCACCCTCGCCAGGCGCCCGCCCAGCGCGGCAACCAGCCCATCAGCCCGACCGGCAGCCACTGGACCCCTCAGGGAGAGAGAGAACCCCCCCCGCATTCCCAAAGGTAAGGAGGCTGGGGGGGGTAAATAAAAATGTGAGTGATTGTGTATGTGTGTGTCTGACTGTGTGTGTGTGTGTGTCTGACTGTATGTGTGTGTGTGTCTGACTGTGTGTCTGTGTGTCTGACTGTGTGTGTTTGTGTCTGACTGTGTGTGTGTGTGTCTGACTGTGTGTCTGTGTGTGTGTGTTTGACTGTGTGTGTGTGTGTGTGTCTGACTGTGTGTCTGTATGTTTGTGTCTGACTGTGTGTGTGTCTGACTGTGCGTGTGTGTGTGTGAGACTGTGTGTGTGTGTGTGTGTCTGACAGTGTGTCTGTGTGTGTGTGTTTGTGTCTGACTGTGTGTGTGTGACTGTGTGTGTTTGTGTCTGACTGTGTGTGTCTGTGTGTGTGTGTTTGTGTCTGACTGTGTGTGTGTGTGTGTGTCTGACTGTGTCTGACTGTGTGTCTGACTTTGTGTGTGTGTCTGACTGTGTGTGTGTGTTTCTGACAGTGTGTGTTTGTGTCTGACTGTGTGTGTTTGTGTGTGTGTTTCTGACAGTGTGTGTTTGTGTCTGACTGTGTGTGTTTGTGTGTGTGTTTGTGTCTGTGTGTGTGTCTGACTGTGTGTGTGTGTCTGACTGTGTGTGTGTGTGTGTCTGTGTCTGACTGTGTGTGTGTCTGACTGTGTGTGTGTGTATTTTGAAGATGGGGCAGGGGGGAAGGGTTGGGTGGGGGTGGCGCGGGGCCAGGGGGGCGCCTGAGTTTTGTCCTGCCTAGGGCAGCACAAAACCAGGATACACCACTGCCAACTTTACCGATGACCTCACAAAGTAGAGATTACGTTTTTAATAATTAATAAGTCAATTAAGCAAGCACCAAACATTTTATTTACACAATTTTATTTCTAAATCAGTCTATTATAGAGACAAAATAGTCGTTATTGCTTTATACTTCTATAATACATTCATACACACCAAATATTCTGAGCTCCTAAAGCAGGACACTGGGGAAGGGGTAGGAGAGATAACCCAAATGTGTCCGGCTAGGCATTTTGATACACAAAACAGAGAGATTCTTTCGGTGATACAAGGGGATGCATTGTAGTTGCCGTGTTTGTCCCAGAATGGACTTTGCTCATTATGGAGTTATAGTTAGCGAACGGGAGTCTTCCACCACTCGACCGACATGATTTAACTATAGTGTACAGAAAGAATTTACAAAGTGATAGAAACATATATATGAGTCCAATGGAATGAACAGCCGATTTAATATTAAAACTCGTCATTCCTTCTCTTGTCTTTGAGTACAGTAGGATGGTCCTAAGCCCCTCACAGTGCAGTCAGATGTTTCCATATCACACTGCCCGCAGTGACATTCCGTAGCCACAGGATAGGAATAATAAGGGTCCACGTTATCAGGGCAGCCAGGTAATTTCACGGTTTCATAAATAACTTCCTTGTAAGTGCACACACGCTGGACCTTCGTCGTAAATATTGGCTTCATAGATGGATCCTAAAATATACAAATATAGAGTATTAGCACCGGCTACATCTGCTCCCTCTGGACTTTACATTTTACTCCCACTAAGCGTGGGGTTTGAACGAGATACCAAGATTACAGAGATGTTTATTCGCAAAAACGTAGAACTTCGTGAAAGGGAACAGCACATGTAGGACAAAATAGTCAAAATGAAAAAATATCCAATTTAGCTATGTTTTCCACTACGCAGGATTATTCGCTAAAGTCTGAATTATTGGGAATTCATACCTGATATAGATAAACCTTACGGTTCTTTGTTATTGCATAAAAAAAACATACTACTATCTCTTTAAAAACTTAATTGGTATGTACGTTTAATTCAATTGAGAAGCAAAGCTGTACGGGAGTAATTTAACTTCAAGTGGTGAAGAAATATTATTCAAAAAGCATATTTAATAATAATTACTTGGAAAGCAAATGAATTCATTCTCCTTGCATAGTGAATCTAGAAAGTAGTTTTACAGTATGTTTGCAGATCCAAATGAATTTATTTTTATTTTTAAAAATACTCTAACAAACACCAATATTATTTAGACTGTTAATTGCATTGATGTATTCTCATTAGTTATTAAATGAAATGATAATTCATAAAGAAACTCTCACATATACATAGCACCTGATCATTTAAAGACGGGTAGCCCCAACATCAAATTAATCCGTATCACACATCAGCTGTGAGCTGAATTCTACTCCAGACAATGGCCTGCAAAGGTTGATGGGATTTGTAGTTTGCCAGCAGATGGAATTTTAATATTTCAGTAGCCTTACATACATTTCAAACAGTGTAAGAACTATTATTTGCATTGCAGACATTATTTTAATGAGCAATGCTTTATTAGAACAGCTAACACAGGGGCAATGCTAGGTTCCATTAACACCAGTGGCCTCTGCCCAAAGGAAACTGTGATGACCCCATCCCTAGCAGAGAGGTGTGGATATCATGACATATCCGTCCTCTCTACCCAGGTACATCGTGCCGCGGATGCTCTCCAGGATCTCAAAGACAGGATAGTCAGAAACAAGCACATACTGCACAGCCAGGTATTCAATGTGATCCCACCATGCTACAAAATTACTAAAGGGGTGAGCAGCAACCCCTTCTGACAGTCACCTGGGGGGCACCCATCTTCCCCTAAGTAGCCCGGCAGAGCACGATATTACTGATCTTTCTTTTTATAATAAGTGGCTGCTTTGAAAAGCACTTGCCTGAGGTTAAATTAAAATTAAACAAAACAATCTTCCTTTCCCCCTCCGCCAACTGTAGAGATTGGGGGCTAAAGAGCTGCATTACATGGGCTTGAGATAGCCAATCTGAGCCATAGAACGTCTATGAGCAAGCACTTCACATGACTTGCAGTTCAATATTCTATTGTAGAAAGCTAACAGCTGAACTACAACTCCCAGAAACCTGCTATAACCTCATGAAAGGCACCATGGAAGACAGATCCGAATCACAAAAACAATATCACCTCTGCTCTGAAATCGAAGATATATTCGGATGGCAAATGTGGTCATTTCTACTTATATTTTCTGAATGTTATAAAGTCCTCATTATTTTTTCATTGTGTTAACTCTGTTGCACCGACCTTAGTGTGACAGTATCCTGAGCACCACGTGGCATTCACAGTAATGCAGACCCCACATTCCTCTTTCTCGAGTGCAATTGTTACATTCGAAAGTTCACACGTTGAGCAAAGGATCATATTCGAGCACAGGGCAACCATGCACAAAAATAGCTTCTCCATCCTGGCGAGACAAAACAAAGTGGCATGCAATCTCTTATCAAGACTCATATTATTAATATTATCGCCATTTATATAGCGCCAACAGATTCTGTAGTGCTTTAAAATATTATTAGAGGGGGGTTTAGGACAATTACAAGAAAACTTACAGGAACGATAGGTTGAAGATTCTATCTATCTATCTATCTATCTATCTATCTCTCTACCTACCTATCTACCGATCTACCTATCTACCTAACTATCTACCTGTCTGTCTGTCTGTCTATCATTCTATCTACCTATCTAGTGCAATTAAAAGACACTGCCTGGTTTTGAGAGCACAACATATGCTTTAAAAATTTTCTCAGTAAGTGTGCAATGCTATTTTAAGTGGGTATAGCTCAAAATCGTGCAAATCTATTTTTATCCTGTTAATGTAGAGGTGGGATGGAGGTGGGGGGACTAAGGGATCTTCAAATTGGTACAGATCTCTCTTGCCTGCTCTCTCTGTGACACATTGTCTACTGGACAACCTTCATTGTTTACCAAGGTAGACCCAGGAAATCAAGATCTGTGTCACTAGGAGAGCAGATCTCCTGTCTCCCCACTATGCACGCCTAGACCTTCCTTCTATAACTAAGTAGCAATGATATAAAACGGCAGAAATTAAGAACCCAAAATATTTATTAATGAGTCCTTCTTCTGCTTTATTACAATTTCTATATTTTATTTAATACAAAGGTTAGGAATGAGTAAGTCACAGGCTCTATTCTAAATGTTGAACTGTCACCGTGGAAACCAATTCTTGCTACACTTGCTCTACTCTTAGACCTTTGGACCAGAGCTGTATCTATAGAGGAACTTTATCATTCAAATCGTGGTATCATTAAATGTATGAAGTCTATCAGTAATCGTGTCATTACCTTTTCTCAGCTTGTCTGGCAGTTTCTTCTGTTAAAAGGGGAGAGGAAAGCCTTCTCCTTTTATATGTGCCTGCGAGTCCTGTAACTGACACTACGAGGATTTACAGGGTATTAAAAGAAGCATAAGGATTAGGTTTGGCTAGAAAGTGGAACCTTGGAAAAAACGATGTATGAAATATTTGTAGAATTATGACATTTGAATCGTGCTCTTTCTAAATTACACTGAAAAGAGAAATATAATTATGGTTTAATTGACGTGATGATTCGTAAATATCTATTAATATCCTGGAATAAGTCACATGTACCCTCCCCTCTCAATTTAGCAGACCACCAGGTGGTCCACCAGGTGTTGCTCCTAAACGCGTCAGAGAGATGTCTTATTTAGGAGCTTCCGTGCTGGGTAAGCTCATTGACTGAGAGTGTTAGATCTGAACGAGAGCTTCTCTGGCTGAGGTAGTGGATGCACGAGCAGACCCCAGGTAAGAAGGCAAACCATGGCCTAAAGGTACCATAACAACTTCATCTAAATAAAGTTCTTATGATGCCAGGAGGCATCACCCTGAAGTTAACCCCGAAGTTGCCTCCAACGCCAGACTCAGCTCCCCCTCAAAGTGGCATCTGGCTTCTGAAATTTCACTTACAGGAAGTGTGGAGTGACGGTGGGCAGGGACGCCGCTGATACTCTCAGCCAACTAGTGACACCAAATTCAAAACACTGTCCTGGGAAGAAAGGAAGGATACCTTCCGTAGCATTAGAAAAAGAGATTATTGATGAGAAAAAAGATGACTGGTGGTTGGGGGACAGACGCTAAATGTTGATGTTATTCACAAATGATGTGAGAATTGATCAATAGAGGGGAAAAAACAGAAATCAGTAAAAAAAATCGGTATTTACATATTCTACATTATACACTGATTAGCCACAACATTAAAACCACTGACAAGTGAAGTGAATAACAATACAATGGCACCTGTCACGGGGTGGGATATATCACGCAGCAAGTGAACAGTCAGTTATAGAATGTCATGTGTTGGAAAAATGGGCAAGTGAAAAGATCTGAGTGACTTTGACAAGGGCCAAATATTGATGGCCAGACAACTGTGTCAGAGCATCTCCAAAATGGATGGGGTGTTCCTGGGATGCGTGGTTACCCACCAAAAGTGGTGTATACAGAAGAGTTACTGTAGCTCAAATAACTGAAAACCTTAATGCTGGCCATGATCGAAAGGTGTCAGAACACACAGTGTATTGCAGTTTGCTGCGAATGGGGCTGCGCAGCCACAGAACGTTCAGAGTGCCCATGTTGTCCACTGACAAAAGTGCCTACAATGGGGCGTGAGCATCAGAGCTGGACCATGGAGCAGTGGAAGAAGATTGTCTTGTCTGATGAATAACATTTTCTTTTAGATCGGGTGGATAGCTGGGTATCGTTTACCTTGGTAAGAGATGACAGCAGGGGCAGACTGAGCTCTTGGGCAAATTTGTCATGGACTAAAGGCCCAAAGCTCTCGGGAGCCTGCCTTTGGTACAGTAAATTAATGGCTCAGCCTTCACACAGTAAGGGGTAAATCTTATCCCTTGTTCAGTCCCAGAGTAGCACACTGAGGGGACAGCTCAGGGGCCTTCTAAAAGAGCCATTAGGTTGCCTCTCAGGATGGCTGAAAGAAATTGGCAGAGGCTCCAGGAGCAGAGCCTCTGCTGAGGAAACGAACAAGCCACGTGAGCATGCTGCCTGTAACACTGATCAGGGCAGCTCTATACGTCACGTTCTGCAGGAAGTGACATCATGCTGTGCGGAGCTCCCTGGTCAGTGTTACAAGGTTCATGCACTATCTCAAGATCATGTGCTTTGCGTCCCCCCACGAAATACCACCAAGGGTAAGAATTCCACCCTCCCCGCCCAAAGAATCAGAGAGGAGGGAAATAAATAAGTCAATGGGACCTGATGGAATACACCCAAAGCTATTAAAAGAGCTTAGTGGTGTACTAGCAAAACCATTAACAGATTTATTTAACCAATCATTGTTAACAGGAGTAGTCTCAGAAGATTGGAAGTTAGTGAATGTTGTGCCCATTTACAAGAAAGGTAATAGGGAGGAGTCGGGCAACTATAGGCCAGTAAGCCTTACTTCAGTAGTGGGGAAAGTGATGGAAACCATGTTAAAGGATAGGATTGTTGAACATCTAAAAACACATGGATTTCAAGATCAGAGACAACATGGGTTTACTTCAGGGAGATCATGCCAAACTAATCTTATTGATTTTTTTGATTGGGTAACTAAAATTATAGATCAGGGTGGTGCAGTAGACATTGCTTACCTAGATTTCAGTAAGGCTTTTGACACTGTTGCACATAGAAGGCTTATCAATAAACTGCAATCTTTAAGTTTGGATTCCAATATTGTTGAATGGGTAAGGCAGTGGCTGAGTGACAGGCAACAGAGGGTTGTAGTTAAGGACCACTATAGTGCCAGGAAAACATACTCGTTTTCCTGGCACTATAGTGCCCTGAGGGTGCCCCCACCCTCAGGGTCCCCTCCCGCCGGCTCTGGAAGGGAAAGGGGTTAAAACTTACCTTTTCCAGCGCCGGGGAGCTCTGCCTCCGAACCTCCATCTCTCCACCCAGACCACTTCATTAAGCTGAAGTGGTCTGGGTGCCTAGAGTGGTCCTTTAATGGAATATATTCGAAGCTTGGACTTGTCACCAGTGGGGTACCTCAGGGATCTGTACTTGGACCCATTCTCTTTAATATTTTTATTAGTGATATTGCAGAAGGTCTTGATGGTAAGGTATGTCTTTTTGCTGATGATACTAAGATATGTAACAGGGTTGATGTTCCAGGAGGGATAAGCCAAATGACAAATGATTTAGGTAAACAAGAAAAATGGTCAGAATTGTGGCAACTGACATTTAATGTGGATAAGTGCAAGATAATGCATCTTGGATGTAAAAACCCAAGGGTAGAGTACAGAATATTTGATAGAGTCCTAACCTCAACATATGAGGAAAGGGATTTAGGGGTGATTATTTCTGATGACTTAAAGGCAGACAGACAATGTAATAGAGCAGCAGGAAATGCTAGCAGAATGCTTGGTTGTATAGGAAGAGGTATTAGCAGTAGAAAGAGGGAAGTGCTCATGCCATTGTACAGAACACTGATGAGACCTCACTTGGAGTATTGTACACAGTACTGGAGACCGTATCTTCTGAAGGATATTGATACCTTAGAGAGGGTTCAGAGAAGGGCTACTAAACTGGTTCATGGATTGCGGGATAAAACTTACCAGGAAAGGTTAAAGGATCTTAACATGTATAGCTTGGAGGAAAGACGAGACAGGGGGGATATGATAGAAACATTTAAATATATAAAGGGAATCAACACAGTAAAGGAGGAGACTATATTTAAAAGAAGAAAAACTACCACAACAAGAGGACATAGTCTTAAATTAGAGGGACAAAGGTTTAAAAATAATATCAGGACGTATTACTTTACTGAGAGGGTAGTGGATGCATGGAATAGCCTTCCAGCTGAAGTGGTAGAGGTTAACACAGTAAAGGAGTTTAAGCATGCGTGGGATAGGCATAAGGCTATCCTAACTATAAGATAAGGCTAGGGACTAATGAAAGTATTTAGAAAATTGGGCAGACTAGATGGGCCGAATGGTTCTTATCTGCCGTCACATTCTATGTTTCTATGTTTCTAAATAATTTTTTAATTTAATAATTTTCCCCCCCATTAAAAATGTTTTAAGTATCTAATCTCCCCCACTACTGTGCCATCACAGCTCCTATCCCTCCATCCCACTTACCAACCAAATCCCTTATACCCCTACACCTCCTATCCCCCTGCTCTTACTACAACTCCTATTACTCCTAGGCACTCACTACAGCCTCTACCACCAGGCACCCAGTATAGCTCCTACCCAGCTAATGCTCCTGTTACCCCCTGCACTAACTACAGCCTTTATCCCCCTGCAGTAAAGGTCAGCTAACCCTCCCCCACACCCACTATCCCTCCTGCAATTACTACTAATATTATTTAATGGTGGTAATTATTAGTGCATTCATTCACACCTACTTCAAGCATATTCACTCTCCGTACATACATCCCTGCATTTACCGACTGTGTACACACATGACCCTGCATTCATAAGCATAAGCCCCTGTGTTCATGCACGCTGTTATTGCACACATGGAAATCTGGGTTCACACAAACAACCTACATGCAAAGATGGCCCTGCCTTTACACACACATACAGACTCTCAATACAAATATGTCCCTGCATACACACTCTGATGTCATAGACTATTATGTCATGGATAATGAATACAAAAAAAAAAAACCTGCACAAGCATTTAAAGGGACTAGTCATCAGGACTACTTATTAAGTGTTCTTGCATAGCAAGACCACTTAATGTTATCTCACATATATATTATTCTTATTCTTATTATAGCCAAATTTACCACCCTAAATCCTCCCACAGTTTTTACACTACATAGACAGTAATATACCGAAACGTGCGGATTGTTCCCTATTGGATTGCTATTACTTTGTGGAACGATTCGCCGAATGGTTCACGGAATATCGTCGTTCTTGTGGCGAAATTGGACCCACAGGAATGAATGGCAAAATGTTCAAAACTAGAGTGGGTTGTTTGCAACTCACGCCGTCTATTGACATTCATTGAAACTCCACTCTAGCCAGCTCAAATTTGAAGGGCAATTTCTAAACTGCGACTGTGCCTTCATTGTTAATACTTCAGAGACATACTATGCATCATAATGTATGTCTGGGTCTTGTGATTCTCACAATATAAAGTTCTTCGCTGTAGGATTTATAGTTTTCAAAATACGACCGTTTGAAGATGGCAACCGCCAAAATACTCTGACCTGTGCCAGGCTGGAGCAGCAAGTGATGTCATAGACAGGGCCTTTTGTACACGTGCTAATGTTTTTATAAATCTATGTTTTAATGTAACTGTGAAGCACTTTGGGCAACAACGTTGCAATTAAATGTGCTATATAAATAAATAATAACAGTTACTCCACCCACTCCAGTTGTAGACTACTGGTGGAGGCAAGAACACTTCACACAATTTCCTCAGAAATTGTAGCTTTTCTAGTTGTAGTTGTTCTGGTGACTATAGTGTCAATTTAAATGCCTGTGTAGATTTATTTTTTCTAATTCTTTCTGTCCCTGCAGGCTTTTTAATGTAAACACTGCCTTTTCAGAGAAAAGGTAGTTTTTACAATGCTGCATAGGAACACCTCTAGAGGCAGTCACTCAGACAGTCACTATAGGTACTTCCTGGGTCAGTGCGGCACAATGTGCAGCACTGACGTTCAGCGTCTCCACACTCTGCAAGAAGATGCTGATTGATGCTGCATGTGAAGTAACCTTACGATGTTTTCCTATGGGAAGGAGGCAGGTCGGGGATGGGCCAGCCTTGAGGAGACCCGGGAGACGCTTCGAATATCGGGGGGTAAGTGTGGCAGGGACCTAAACGGCTATTTTAAACCTTTAGTGTCAGGAATACATGTTCATATTCCTGACACTATAGTGTTCCTTTAAGATGGCTCATAACGTTTTTAATTCAAGATGCAAAATTTGATGGTCTGCATACCTCATACAAACACAATTCACAAAAATCACTTTATATATATATACAAAAAAACAAGTCCTGCACTCACTCCCATCACTCCTGGGCTGCAGCAACGACCACAGTACACATCAGCCCCAATACATACAGTAAAAACCAAAGAAAAAGTTACCTGTGCTCTCTCCTAAATCCCTATGTATTTGTTTAAATATACATAGGGATTTAGGAGAGAACGTAGGTAACTTTTTCTTTGATCCCTTTATACAAAGTGCCATGGTACACAAACACACATCAAAAAAATACTGCCCTATTTAAAAACAAAAAACATGTATTTAAATATACTCTGAATCCACATATCCTGACACTACACACAAAAACATACATATATTTACTTACACCAAGGCTCACATACACATAGTGCATATACACACAGAAACATACATTCACTTACTTGCACCTACAATCAAATACATGGTACATCTACACCAGCATATATATTGGCCTGCAGGGGACCCATGTCCTAATTTTGTCTGGGGGCCAAGGCCACTGTCAGTCTGTCCTTGGATGGCAGCAGGGTGCATTATGGGAAGAAGGCAGGCCGGCGGAGGTAGTGTTATGCTTTATACAATGTTCTGCTGGAAAGCCTCCGTTCCTTGCATTCATTTAGATGTTACTTGCGCACATCTTACGTACCTAGAGATTGTTGCAGTGCACCCCTTCATGGCAGTGGTCTACCCTGGTGGTGGTGGCCTCTTTCAGCAGGATAATGCACCCTGCCACACTGCAAAAAATGTTCAGCAATGGTTTGAGGAAGACTTGGCCTCCTTGGATTGTCTGAGATCATCAAGGAGGCAGAGTCTGGCATGGTGTGGGAGAACACGCGAGCAAAATCACATTTTCAAAGGGAGATACTACTATAATTTCAGGAATATGTTGTGTTCCTATAAAGGATCTGCTGCCTGTGTTGGTGCTCGATACCACAGGACACATTCAGAGGTCTTGTGGAGTCCATGCTTCAATGCACCAGAATGTTTTGACAGCATGAGGGGAAAGTACACGTATTAGGCATGTGGTATTGTGTCAACTAATGTTGTGGCTGTTAAAAGTATGGTGCATTTCTAGTCATTTCAGACTTCCTAAAACAAACATTCAGGGCTAACATGGACCGGAAAGAAATACAGATTATATAAACGTGGGCACTAGTTGGCAATGATGAGCTACAGACATTGTAAATGGGCTCATTTTCTGTTGCATTCGTTTTCTGTTGCCACAGATCAATCTGCAGAAATCATTAGTTGAAAGGAACAGAAATATAAATATTAAAATGTGTTGATACATTGTTAATGGAGTTTTAAACAAGCAATGTGCTAGCCAGCCTTCCAAAACTTCCATTGCTATTAAAATGAAGGTCTATCTCATTAATTTTACATCACTAAATTCATGATGTATTGTTTTGTTGGGATAAGCAGATCAGGTTCCTGTAATATGTTGAAAAGAAGAAGAAAAACCCACAACATGATACTGTTTTAATGATTTAAAATTGTGTCTGCGTTTCCTTACCAAATATGTTCTTTTCATAAGGCCAAAAAATCCGGAAAATGAGTTTCACTTATACTCCATACTCACTGCTATGGAGGAACACAAAATGTTTTCTTTTCAATGCCAAATGTGTAGAAAAAAAGCAAAGATAAGTAAAACTTATATGAATATAAAAGGACTCCTGACTTGTAAACAGAAAAAAGCTTCTTAAAGTGACACTATCGCTTCCAGGAACTTTGCATACTATGCTAAGATCCCCAATGGGTCATGCTTGTGGTACATGCGGCAGAAGTTACATAGTTACATAGGCTGAAACGAGACACGTGTCCATCAAGTTCAGCCTTCCTTAGTGTAAGAAGCTAGAGCGAGATACTTTTACCTGTATATAGTGCCAGGAAAATAAAGTATGTTGCGTTCCCCCCATGATACAGAAGGGGTTACAAACCCCTTCTGTCACTTGCCCGGTTCCAGCGCCGATGTTCAGGCTCCACCTATGCTCCTCCCTCACCAACACCAGCCGACAGGGAGACCTAAAGCACATGCGCAGCAATGGCCGCACTTGTATTATTACTTCCCGCATAGAAAATCAGTTTAAAAGATAAAAAAATGGACTTCAGGGTCCAAAAATAAACAAAAACAATACGAATACAAAACTATAAAACCTACAGTCTAATACCCACTGCCATTGAACTCTAATCCGTATTGTTCATTGGTTGCATACCGGGCGATTCTCCTACTTGGTCCTTGATGGATTCCTACATATAATCCATTCGCCAATGTCCTCTGCCTTTTGCAGCTCGTTTTCCTCTTAATTTCCCTGTGGAAACGACATGAAAGCATCCGCTTGCCTTTCCCTACCGACTTCCATGTGTTCCACTTCATGTTTCTCTGAGCTATGCAAACCTAGATCTCTTCAGCACTCAATACAAATGAATATTATTATTATTGGTATTTAGATAGCGCCAACTAATTCCGCAGCTCTTTACAATATTATGAAAGGAGGGGGTATTTACAATGCATGAAACTATTACACAGGAACAATAGGTAGATGAGGACCCTGCTCAAGTGAGCTTACAGTCTAGGTAATATATAAACATACTAAAAGAACTAAACTGGTTGTCCCGGGAATCCAGACGCACCATTCATCTTTCCAGCCTTGTGTTTAAGAGCTTTTCTGGGAAGCTCCCACCCTACCTGAGCAGAATGCTGTCCCCGGCTGTTCCCACCTCCAAAACCTCCAATCCAGTACCAGCACTTGATTTAGTCTACCTCAATACAAAAAGAAAGCAGCCCGATCCTCCTTCTCCTACAGCGCCGCAATTATGGAACGACCTCCCGCACACTTTCAAATCTTCCCCAAGCCTAAAGTCCTTTAAGAGATCCCTCTCTACATACCTCAAAACAGAATGCACCTGTCATGGTTGACTATATATTTCCTACCTGTTCTATGTTACATTTTGTATTTATTGTGTATTAATATTGTTTTTGTATTTTATTGCACCCTATTGTAACAATGCAGTGTTTTGTGGACCCAGGCCATACTTGAAAACAAGAGAAATCTCAATGTATCTTTCCTGGTAAAATATTTTATAAATAAATAATCTTCAATTAATTGTTGCAATCATTCCAAATGCCAACTGAACATGTAAATAAATGAACGAATACAATGGTATCATATATACCTGTGTACTCTATTAAAATTTGAGGCAATATTGTACACATAGGAAAAAAAACAACAAAATAACATCAACAAGTGTCCAATTATATCACCGTGCAAAATCCAATAGTAATAAATTTAGTACCCTATAACTTAATTATTATCACTTAGCAATTATTTTTTATATAATTTTTTATAGGGACCTTTTCCTTTTGAACTATTTTATTGATACATTTTTCAATAACATTAATAATAATAATAACAAGAAAGTTGTAAGCACTACAATCAAACAGGAGAATATTAATGTATGTTTACATCCATTGATATATCCTGTAATATTGCAAGGCAAAATGAACATGTCAATAATAATAAATATATTATAGAAAGAGATGATTGCCTTTGAGGTTGTTTATATTAAGGTATTAAAACATGAATATCAAAGTTAGAGCAGCACTGTCCTTTCCCCAATCGCTTCCTCTTCTTTTCCTCTATCAGGATCTGTTCTTCATTTCTTCTGGTCTGCTTTAGTTTTCTTTAAAACATAAGACAAAGTAGGGACTATTTTGTCTTATGTATGTTTCCTACACCCGACCATCTATGACCAGCGAAGGAGCAAAGTGTGCTCCGTTTCCTGCGGTCAGAGACATTTTCCCACAATTCTTACCTTTCCTCCGTGTTCTTGCGATGCCTCCTTTCCGTATTCCTGAACACCGGCAAAACTACTGAATTTCGTCCTACCAGAATGAGAGCAGTTCGTCCGTTCGTCTTGGTTTTTCAGCCAACTTTACTAATACTAAGTAAAGATTACTTAGTATTAGTAAATGCTGCCCCTACTCGCTATACCGCGAGTAGGGGCGTGTCTAGTAAAGAGTGAGCAGCCACACTGTTGTAAGAAAAAAAAATGAGGGGGGGTAACCCCTCACCCCCCAAAAAATTAAAGTACTTCCTTACCCCCTCACTCTAAAAATAGTGAGGGGGCAACCATGAATCTAAATCCTTGTAAATAAATAAAACTTATCATTTGATGTCTTCTTATAAAATAAAATAAAAACCCTGAGCATAAAAAATTAACAGACGAAAAAGAAAAATCCAGACGCTAGAAAAATAATCAATCTTCACCCAGCAAGGGCACGGCACCGACTGAGCTCCGCTGGGCGAGGAAAGGCTTATAAAGCCTTCTCACGCCCTGCATTTAGGCTCAGAGCGCTCTGATGGGTTGGTGAAAGATGGATTAGTTGGTGAAACCAACCAATCAGAGCACTCTGAGCCTAATTGCAGGGCGTGAGAAGGCTTTATAAGCCTTTCCTCGCCCTGTGGAGCTCAGTCTGCGCCGTGCCCTCGCTGGGTGAAGATGGATTGTTTTTCTACCGTCGGGATTTTTTTTCCCGTCGGGTTTGATTTTTTCCGCTTGTTTTTTTATTTTATTTTATAAGTTTGATGGGTATTATGGTTTTTTATTTGGCAGTCACTGGCTGCTCACTGTTTAGTATGATATGATATGATAGAAACATTTAATTACATAAAGAGAATTAACACAGTAAAGGAGGAGACTATATTTAAAAGAAGAAAAACTACCACAACAAGAGGGCATAGTCTTAAATTAGAGGGGCAAAGGTTTAAAAATAATATCAGGAAGTATTACTTTACTGAGAGGGTAGTGGATGCATGGAATAGCCTTCCAGCTGAAGTGGTAGAGGTTAACACAGTAAAGGAGTTTAAGCATGCGTGGGATAGGCATAAGGCTATCCTAACTATAAGATAAGGCCAGGGACTAATGAAAGTATTTAGAAAATTGGGCAGACTAGATGGGCCGTTCTTATCTGCCATCACATTCTATGTTTCTATGTTTCTAGTAGACATGCCCCTACTCGCTGCATAGCGAGAAAGGGCATTTGGGAGATTTTAATCTCCCTTATGCTATTATCTGGGTCATATTTACCCCCATAGTGTGAGGGAGCACATTGGGGGCTTAGGAAGTGGCGGGGAGCACTGCTCCCTGACGCTTCTATGTTTACATATTACAAGGAGGAAGCTGTGTGCCGGTAGCTCCCTCCTTGTA